AAAAAAAAAAAAGCCATTGCAGACTCTGCAGTGTGCACAGGCCTTTGGTCATGAGGCCTCTGTATAAATTAGATGAAAGTCATAGACTCCAAAAATTACCTTAGAGATTGAATTTTTTATATAATTTCTGGAGATGCCCATCAATACTTTCCCCAACAAAAGGCTATGGCCTCCAGGCTATGGAGATTGCTGGATGTGGTGGTGGGCCACCTGTAGTCCCAGCTACCTGGGAGGCTGAGGTAGGAGGACTGCTTGACCCTGGGAGTTCTGGACTATAATATGCTATGCTGATCCAGTGTCTGAACTAAGTTTGACATCAATATGGTGAACTCCTTGGAGTGGGGGACCACCAGGTTGCCTAAGGAGGGATAAACTGGCCCAGGCAGGAAAGGGACTAGGTCAAAACTTCTGTTCTAGGCTGGGCCTGGTGGCTCATGCCTGTAATCCTAGCACTCTGGGAGGCTAAGATGGGTGGATTGCTTGAGTTCAGGAGTTCAAGAGTAGCCTGAGTAGAGCCAGACCCCTTCTCTAAAATAGCCAGGTGTTGAGGCTTCGGTAATCCCAGTTACTTGGAGACTGAGGCAAAAGAGATCACTTGAGTTTGAGGTTGCTATGATGCCACAGCCCTCTGCCCAGGGAAACAGTGAGATTCTGTCTCTAAACAAACAAAGTTCTATGCTGATCAGTAATGGGATCACACTTGTGAATAGTCACTGCACTCCAGCCTGGGTTGTGAGACCCTATCTCTAAAAATAATAGAGCCATGGTGGCGCCGGTAGCTCAGCGGGTAGGGTGCCAGCTACATACACTGAGGCTGGAGGGTTTGAACCTGGCCTGGGCCGCTAAACAACAATGACAAGTACAACCAAAAATAGCCGGGTGTTGTGGCAGGTGCCTATAGTCCCAGCTACTTGGGAGGCTGAGGCAAGGTAATTGCTTAAGTCCAAGAGTTTGAGGTTGCCGTGAGCTGTGACACCAAGGCACTCTACTCAGGATGATAGTTTGAGACTCTGTCTCAATAAAATAAAATAAAATAAAAATGAAGCCAGATCTTGAAACTCAAGTCCAAACTCTTCTGGTATTCTATTGTATGAGGCTTTTCACACTTACATCCTGCCACTTCTACTGGCCCTATGCTCCTTCATATTGGAATTCTAGCATTTTCCTAAGTAACCAACTATGATGTTTAATTTTATATGCCAATTTGACCAGACTAAGGCAGGCCCAGATAACTGGTGAAAAACAAAACAAAGCAAAACCCCACATCTCTTCCAGTTGTATTTGTGTGGGTGTTTCCAGAAGAGATTAGTATTTAATTGGTTGGCTGAGTAAAGAAGATACCCCCCATAATGTGGGCAGGCATCATCCAATTAGTTGAGGGCCTGATTACAAACAGAAAAGCAGAGAAAAAGTAAATTTACACTGCTCTAGCTCTCAGATTTTGGTGCTCCTGGTTCTTAGGTATTAACATTGTGATCAAGATTTACAGTATATGCCCCTACTCCCACCCCTTTTCTGGTCTTCACTTTGGTACTTATGCCATTGGTTACCTGGGTTCTTAGGCCTTTGGGCTTAGGTCAAAAGTACACCACCAACTTCTCTGGGGCTCTAGTTTGCAGGTAGTAGAAGGTAGGACTTTTCACTCTGCATAATCTTGTGTTCAATCCCTTGTAACAAATTTATGTATCTATGTGTATTCTATTGGTTTGTTTCTCTAGAGATTCCTAATGCCCCATCATTCTGCAAATATCTTTGAGGCCTGCCAATGTGACTGCAGAGCTTAAGAAGACAGTTCCTCTCAAACTATAGGCAAGTAAGCAGATTACAAAGCAGAGTGACAACGGCTTGGATTCATGCTTGTGGACCTTTGCTTATGCTGTTCCTTCTGCTTGAGTTGTTTGCTCTTCATCCTCATCTCTGTGAAACTGACCTCAGGTCCTACTCAGGTTCTGGAAGCATTTTCTACATGTCACTTAACCACATAGTATCACACCTAGTTGGCTGGTTCTGCGTTTTCCTTCCCTACTAGACCGCAAGCTCTCAGCTGTGGTACATATTACTCAGTTTATCTCTAGGACCTCAAAAGGAGCCTGAGCACTCCGTATGTATGGCGTGAACTGATCAATGCAAGAATGAACGTTCATGCTTGCAAAGCGGATTTTGCTTTCCGTGCCCGGGCAGCTCTCCTGAATTGCACGGTAGAGGTCAGAGTTTTGGAGGAGGGGACTAGAGGGGAACCAGTGGAAGAAGATGAGCCGAAGCCCACCACACTGAGGTTTGCGGCGTCCGGTGAGCTGCGAGGGACTGGACAACTAACTCCTCAAGCTGCCGGAAGCGGCTCCGTGGCCTCCGCCCGCCCCTCCGGAAAGGTGGGCGTGGCCCCTCATGAATAATAAATCGCCGCGGGGGAGGGGCCGGGCCCGCCCCCTCGGGCGGGAAGGGGGAGGCGCCGAGGCTGCCTGACTGGAATGAGGGTAGCTGCGGCGACTGCGGCGGCGGGAGCGGGGCCGGCCATGGCGGTGTGGACGCGGGCCACCAAAGCGGGGCTGGTGGAGCTGCTCCTGAGGGAGCGCTGGGTCCGAGTGGTGGCGGAGCTGAGCGGAGAGAGCCTGAGCCTGACGGGCGACGCCGCCGCGGCCGAGCCCGAGCCCTCTCTGGGGCCGGCTGCGGGCGCCTTCAACGGCCTCCCTAACGGCGGCGGCGCCGGCGACTCGCTGCCCGGGAGCCCGAGCCGCGGCCTGGGGCCCCCGAGCCCGCCGGCGCCGCCGCGGGGTTCTGCGAGCGAGGCGGGCGCGTCGCCGCCCGTACGCCGGGTCCGGGTGGTGAAGCAGGAGGCGGGCGGCCTGGGCATCAGCATCAAGGGCGGCCGCGAGAACCGGATGCCGATCCTCATCTCCAAGATCTTCCCGGGGCTGGCGGCCGACCAGAGCCGGGCTCTGCGGCTGGGCGACGCCATCCTGTCGGTGAACGGCACCGACCTGCGCCAGGCCACCCATGACCAGGCCGTGCAGGCGCTGAAACGCGCGGGCAAGGAGGTGCTGCTGGAGGGTGAGCGGGGACGGCGGGCGGGCGGGCGGACGGCGCGCACTTTGTTTCTGCCACCCTGCCCCCTTTGCGGGGCGAGCCTGTTTCCTCCTCCCTCCCCAAACTCAGTTTTCTGGGGCGTTGAGTATGGAAAAAGTGATGTTCCTTGCAGGAAAAGTTGGGCAGCCGCCGAAGTGTGGCTTGCAGCTCCTAAGGAAGAGTCTGCTGAGATTTAGCCAAAAGCAGCCGCGTCTGAAGCCCCCCCTTCCCGCCCCCTTCTGCTGGATAAGCTGACACTAAGAACTGGAGGGACAACGGCTCGAGTTCCCTAGGTCTCCGTTTGTCCGATGCGAAGTGCCGGGTTGGCGCTTTCTTCAGTCACCTCTGGGTCCCCGGGGCTGGCGGGTCTGTTAAAAAAAAAAAAATCCATCCACACCGATGCCAGCGGTATGCTTGGGCACACCACCAAAACTCTGGTTAATTTATGGGAATTTAACCCATCATTGGCTCTCAACAGTAACTAAAAGATCATAGCCCTTCATTGAAGCCAGAAAGCTGAAGCAGCAAGTTTGTGTGGTTAATGAGGCTTGTTTCACAGGAGACTCACGTGCTTCAACATTTACTGCCAACTAGAGTTTTGCCCCTTTTGCAAGAGATGGGTGCCAGTTTCTACCACTTATAGACGTGCTGTTTCAAGACTATTAGGCTTTTTATAAGAAACTTGAAGTGGTAAATTACAAGATGGGTTCCAATAGCCAGGATTATTCTTTACCTTAAGTATGTATGTAATTTGTAAACTGGATCTTTTATAATGCATTTATGAAACTAAGGTAACATGAAATCTCTAAGGAGTCATGTATGTTGGAGGTGATAAGAGTATTGTAGATGAAGTGTAAATGAAGCAATTGTCAGTTGCTTCGTTTTTTAGAGTTTTTTTGGGTGATCCAATCATTCCAGAAACATTTTTTGTTTTTTTGGAGACCGTCTCACTTTGTTGCCCTCGGTAGGGTGCTGTGGCATCATGTCATAGCTCACAGCAACCTCATACTCTTGAGGGTCAAGCCATCCTCTTGCCTCAGCCTCCCAAGTAGCTCAGACTATAGGCACCTGCCACAATGCCTGGCTATTTTTAGAGATGGGTATGTGTGTGTTTCTCACTTTTGCTCAGGCTAGTCTTGAACCTATGAGCTCAAGCCATCCACCTGCCTCAACTCCCAAAGTTGTAGGATCACAGGCGGGAGCCACTGTGCCTGGCTCAAGAAAAATTTCTTGCTAGCTCTGTAGAAGAGAAATATAGAAGATGCTGTCCCTACTTTGTTTCTAATCAGGGAAGTGATAGAAAAATGCAAAACAGCTTATAAGAGGAAAAATACCAAGTTCTTGGTTGTAGAGTGCAAACTGTATATAAATGCCAAGAGAATGCAAGTGAGGAAGTAGTTAGTGGAAATGGGCTTAGTCAGGGAGGAGCTGAATCTTGAGCCAGGTCTCCAAGGAAGTGATGGACACAGACAGGCAGAGATGAGTCAGGAGGGTATTCCTGGCAGAGAAAGAAAGGGAGGGAAGGGCTGGGGACTGGGGTTGTGGAGGGACCAATCATTAAATCAAGAAGTCTAACTTGGTAAAATGATTTCCACTTTTTTATAAATTCGTACTGTGAATATTTAGAAAAAATATTAGCTTACAAGAAATGATCTCATAGGCTCCAGTTGTGCAATTCCAGTGTGCTACCTTTATAAGGTCTTATTTGTAAATCTTATTTGTATCCCACTTATAGGTGGGGCTAGACACTGCTCAGAAATTAGTGATAATATTACGAGTAAAATTGTAGATTATGGCTTGGGCAGGTACATAAAACAATTGTTGGCCTAAATATATATATATTTTTTTTTTTTTTGAGACAGAGTCTCACTATGTCACCTTGGGTAGAGTGCCGTGGAGTCACAGCTCATAACAACCTCAAACTCGTGGGCAACTCTCTTGCCTCAGCCTCCTAAGTAGCTGGAAGTACAGGCACCCACCACAATACCTGGCTATTTTTTGTTGTAGTTGTCATTGTTGTTTAGCTGGCCTGGGCCAGGTTCATACCTGCCAGTCTTGGTGTATATGGCTGGTGCTGTCATCACTGTGCTATGGGTGCCGTGTATGTTGAAATAGGTCTAGCTAAACATTTGGTTATAAATTCTTAGAGCCAGAATACCGAATTTAGGTACTATTTATGGAGTATTCAGTGATGATGGGCAGACAGTTAAACCCTTTATACCGTATTTTTAAGAAAACAGTTTTTGTGTTGATATAGTTTGAATCTGGTATTTATACCAGTAAAATGAAAACTCTCTAGTAAATACTTTCCAGTACTTATTAGTCTAAAATAGACCTTGTGCTTTTGGAAAGGAGGTTTATAGATAGCAGCATAATATTCATTGACTGCCTTTTTACCTAATACAAAAATTCTACTTTATTTTCCCATTGGCATAAGACAGGCAGTTTTTGTCTTCCAAATGTGAGGAAGTCAATATGGTAGATTTATGACACTGCATTTTCAAGTTACAGGATGTAAAGATAAAATTACTCAAAATAGTCAAAGTCGCTAAAAACAGAGATTTGATTGAACTAGTTATTTAAAGTTGAGCATTGGTGTTCCAGGTAGCTCACTTTTGAAAGAATTTATGCTTAGTCCTTAACATTTTCAAACTGTACTACATTGTTCTTCCATTAGATGTCTCAAAACTTGAAAAATTGCCTTAACACAACACAGTGATGCTCTTTTGTTGTGTGGGCAGGGAATTTCAGGCATGCTCTTACCACCCCCATGCCAGGGAAAGCTATAGTCTCTGGTTGCCTATGTTTAGGGGACTGAGCTAAAGGGTTCCTTTTTGTCTCAGGGACTTGTAGGGATCATTCATTCATCCATCAAACATTTATTCGGCTCTTATCATATGCCAGAGGCACTCAAAGATACCTGATTCCTGCCCTCAAGAAGTTTAGAGTTGAGATGAGGGGAAAAAAAGTAAATAAGTACAGTAGTAAAGCAAAGGGCTAAAAGTGCTCCTACAGTAGAAGTCTGGAGAGGACACAACACACAGAAGGGAGAGAGGTCCATACAGGTAGGTCCCTAATGGGAATTAGAGGTTGAGGATGCCTGGGAAAAGTTTGATGGAGAGCTTGAAGCTTGAATTGAGCCTTCCTGAAGAGTAAGGCCACCAGTAAGGGCACAGAAGTGTGAGATGTTAAGAAGTTATTGTGCAGCCGGGCTCGGTGGCTCATGCCTTCAATCCTAGCACTCTGGGAGGCCAAGGCAGATGAATTGCCTGAGCTCACCAGTTCCAGATGAGCCTGAGCAAGAGTGAGACCCCATTTCTAAAAACAGCCTGGCGTTGGCTTGGTACCCAGAGCACAGTGGTTACAGTGTTAGCTACATGCACTGAGGCTGGTGGGTTCGAACCCCTGGGCCAGCTGAACAACAACAACAAAAATAGCCGGGTATTTTGGCAGGTGCATGTAGTCCCAGCTACTGAGACAAAAGAATCACTTGAGCCCAAGAGTTTGAGGATGCTCTGAGCTATGATGCCATAGCATGCTACTGAGGGCGACAAAGAAAAACTCTGTCTCAAAAAAAGAAAAAAAAGTTATTGTCCAGTAAAAGTAGAGTACAAGCAGGGCAGATGTGGACTTGTTTCTGGCCA